TATTTATTTTTTTTCATATTAATATAAATATAGTAAAGCTTCATTGATATTTTATTCATTTCTATAAAACAATAATTTAAATAAATTTATCACTGATAAAAAGAAAGAAATCAAACAAATATTAAAATATTCAAGACAAGCAAATGAATCTCTATTGACTTTTTGAAAAGCTATGATAATAACAAACATTAAAAACAAAAATAATTAAAATTTTTCTTTATATTTTGTTATAGAGATTGAATCTTTTCATAAAATAATTATAATATAATAATAAAAATAATAATAAAATATAAAAAAAAGAATTTTAAATAGTAAAACCTAAAAACAAACTGATAAAAATCAGTATCATTTAATGGGAAAGGTCCACGGAGGTTTAACAAGAGCTGGTAAAGTCAGAAATCAAACTAAGAAACCAGAAAAGGTAGATACTGGAAAGAAAAAATTCCCATCAGGAAGAGCTTATCTCAGATACCTTTATAGTAAGAGAATGGTTATGTTAAACGGTGATAATAAGAAGTATAAGTTTAACCCACAAAGAATTAATTAAAATGATACTTGGATAATAGGTTATAACCTTTTATTTTTATATTTTATTTAGTTAAGAAAAAATAAATAAACCTTATTAGAAATGATAAAAAAATTAGTTGAATTATACACCAAAATGTGTTACGCAATATTACACATTCTCTTTTCTTGTGGAACATATGACTGAATAAATCGGGATTGGAGCACATTAATTGCTCCACTCCTTTTTCTCCTAACTAATTTCATTGCCTCAGTATTTTCCATTCCTAATTCAATTAAAGCAATTGCGACAAGTGTTGGTGCCCTAAGAATAAGTGAGTCTTATACAAAAGCAATACCTATAAAAATACAGAAAAAACAAACCTTCCAATGCCTGAAAGACAATGAACACCTAGAGTGATGCCAAGAGGATTTTGGTCGTTAGGAAAAATAGCATGAACAATTCTCATAAAATCTGAAATAATACGTGACGAAGGACATCCTTCATCTTGATAAACCAATTCATGAATAGCAATTTTGTTATTTATTAATTTTTTTTTATCATAAGAAGGATGACAACATCGAACAACATCAGTTACATTATATCTCTTTAGCTCTGAAATATAATTATCAACATTATCATCTGTTGGTGAATCAAAAATTAAGAATTTAAGTCCATTATATTCAACTAACGATGCAGGATTACTTAATTTTGATACGTGAATTGTTTGAAAAGGTATTTCTGTTTGCGTGTTTCTATTTGTTTGATTAAAAGAAGATTGTTTTTCAGTGCCAGCAATAATAGACATTAATAATATCATTTTTTAGTTTTTTTTTAATTTTAATTTTTAATTTGAATATAATTAATGTTACATAGTTAATGTTCTATTCATAACACTCTCTCTTTATGTTTTGGTAATTAACACAAAAAGAATCTTAAAAATTAAAATGAATGTAACTTCTATTGCTGAAAAAGAAAAACAAATAGGAAACGAATTATATCAAAAAAGAAAGTTTGAAGAAGCTATTCTTCATTATAATATTGCTATAGAAAATGAACCAGGAAACCATATTTATTATTCAAATAAAAGTGCATGTTTAGTTATGACTAAAAAATTTCAAGAAGCTTTAACATCGATTCAAAAATGTCTTGAAATTAAACCAGATTTTACAAAAGGAATTATTAGATTAGCTACAATCTATGAAGAATTAAAACAACCACAAGAAGCAATTAACTCTTATCAACATGTCCTTCAAATAGAACCAAATAATGAGATTGCTTTTCAAAGACTTGATGAATTACTTCGAGATGAAAAGAAAGTAGGAGAATGGTATAAAAAGATTAATGAAATAAATAGCCCTTTTGAAGAAGATAAGAATGAATTACTAACCAACATAAATGAACTAAATAATAATAAAAATTGGGAAAGAATCATTTGTTTAAAAGATGAAATTGAAAATGAATTTGATGTCATTAAAAAAGCAAAGGAATTATTGTTTTTAGCAAAAGCAATGAAAGAACTTAAGATGGAATACAGAAGTATATTAAAACAAAGCATTGAATTATATCCATTTGAAGAAACTCTATCTTTATTACAAAGTGCATAATTAAGTTATTTTTTTAGTTTTAGAAGTTTGTAACAAAAAATTTAACTCAACAAAGAACTGAACTTCTTTTAAATTTAGAAAAGTAAAATAATGGAACCAATTGAGGTACTTGCATATTCTGTTGATGAAGAAGGAAAAACAATTGGACTAGGAACATCATATGGGTTTGTCGTGTATGGGTTTGAAAAAAAAGACCCATATGTTAGATTCAAAAAAATTTTAGGTCATGGAATTGGATTAATTAGTGTATATAAATCAAGTAACATTGTTGCTTATGTTGGAGGTGGAAAAAATCCTTATTCTAAGTTAAATGATGTAGAGGTATGGGATGATAGAACTTCTTCAATTGTATTTAAAAAAAAATTTGAATCAGATATTTGTGGTATTTCATTAAAAAAGAATTTTTTTATCGTTGCATTAAAAAATGTAATGTATGTATACAGACTAAGTACTGGATTTTGTACTACAATCCTCACTTCACCCAACTTAGATGGGGTATTTGCCTATTATGAAAAAACTGAACTTCTTCTAACTTTGAGTGAAGAGTCGGGATGTATCAATATGTATTGTCTTAAAAGTGGATCCCCTGAAATTGAAACAATTCAAACTAATATTAAATGTTTCAAATATCCAATTAGCAATATTTCTATTGATCCAAGTGGAAAATTTGCAGTTGTTTTTTGTATAAAAACACAGTACTTTCATTTTATTGACTTACAAACAAAACAAATATATTACAAAATATCTAACCAAGGTACAACAATTAAAAAACAACCATTTATATTATTATCACCAGCAATTCTTGTGGCAGTAACAGATGGTTGTGCTACTTTCTATGATATTCTTAAAAACAAAAAAAATAAGTTTTATATTATGAAACTTGATAAAGCAGCACCTCCTGCCATTGCATTCCTTACAACTTGGCAACAAGGTGGACCAAAACTACATAGTTTGTTTTTTCTATTCATCTTATTTTTTGAATTTTTTATTAATCATTTTTCTAGTAATTGATAAAAATGGAAAGATTAATATCTGTGAAGTACTAGTTAATCCAGATCTTGAAGTGTCAACAACCAATATTCTTACAAAAGCTTTATTATAATAATCATTCGTTTCATCTTTTCACTTTTCTTAAGAACTTTTAAATAAAAATTTGAAACATATATTTCAAAGATTAAATCTTATAAAAAATAATTTAATTAATAAAAAAAATATAATAAATAAAATAAAAGTAAAAACCCTTTCAGAAAAAAAAAGATTGAATAGTTCACAATGGCTGAAGCTGTAGCCCAACCAGTTGAAACTGTT